TTTGCAACCCGCCGCGAAATAAATCAACCTGCAATCCGCCACAGAAAGAATCCACTGTCAATCCCCAACAAAAGGAACCTATTTGCAATCCCCCACAAAAGGAATACATACGAACATCGCCACACAACGAATCAACTTGTAATCGGCCGCTGCGGACATCAATTTGCAACCCGCCACAAAAAACATCAATTTGCAATCCGCCACAGAAAAAGCATGAAACAAATTACTGTCTAATCCTGGGCCATGCCGCCACACTAGGAATCATTTTGTAACCAACTTGAGATCCACAAGGAAGGCCAGAAGGGAGGAGGGGGGATAACGGTAAAATAAGGAGAGCGGCATTGTGAGGGGTCCGAAAAGTCTGGAAAACATGGTCGGGAGGTCAAGGGGAACAAAAAAGGGAGGATGGACGTGGTAAAGGGGAGGAAGGTAGAGAAGGAGGAGGAAAAGGAGAAGAGAAGAGGAGGTGGAACGTCTAAGGAGGGAATTGGCAATGGTAGGATGAAGAGGGAATGTGGATTGATAGTACATAATGACTGAATGTGGATATCGGTGGGGAAACGCGCAGCAACGCACTACTGAGAGCGCCGTGCGCTGTGCGTAATCCTTCGCAGTCTGACTTCACACTGTACTGTGGCACACCGAGCAGTCCAGAGTCAGTTTGTTTAGCGGGCTGTAATGCAAGACACTCTCCCTGCTCTTCATCGCATCTTCTTTTCTTCGTATGACCAGTAGTAGCAATAGCGATGGAACTGGCAATCGTAGTAGTCGTCGTAGTAGTATGACTAGTACTAGTAGTAGTAGTAGTAATGGCAGTACCAGTGGCAGTGGTAGTCGTTCTAGTAGCAGTAGTAGTAGTAGTAGCAGCAGCAGTAGTAGTAGTAGTAGTAGTAGTAGTCGTAGTAGTAGTAGTAGTAGTAGTAGCAGTGGTAATAGTAGTAGTAGTAGTAGTAGTAGTAGAAGAAGTAGAAGAAGAAGTAGTAGTAGTAGTAGTAGTCGTCGTATTACTAGTAGAAGTAGAAGTAGACGTAGTAGTAGTAGTAGTAGTAGTAGTAGCAGTAGTAGTAGTAGTAGTAGTAGTAGTAGTAGTACTAGTAGTAGTAGTAGTAGTAGTAGTAGTAGTATCCGTAGCATCCGTAGTATCCGTAGTATCCGTAGTAGTAGTAGTAGTAGTAGTAGTAGAAATATTAATGTCAGCAGTAGGGGTAGCGGGCGTAGGAACGGTAGTGACAAAAGAAATCGCAGTAGTGGTATCAGTAATAGCACTAGTAGTAGCAACACTTATCGTAATCGCAATAGTTGCAATCGTAGTCGGGATAGTTGTCGCGCTCGTGCGAGTAGTCGTAGTACTAACAATACTAGGAGTAGGAGTAGTTGTAGTTGAACGAGTCGCAATAGTAGTAATAGTAGTTGTAGTAGTAGTCGTACCGGTAGCAGTAGTAGTCATAGTGGTAGTGGTGGTCGGAGTAGTAGTAGTGGTAGTAGCAGTAGTAACCTAAGCGGTCCTAGTAGTAGACGTAGTAGTAGTAGAAGTAGTAGTAGTAGTAGTAGTAGTAGAAGTCGTAGTAACAGTCGTGGTCGTAATGCTAGTCGTAGTCGTAGTAGTGATCATAGTCGTAGTAGTGAAGTAGTATCAGTCGTAGTAGTAGTAGTAGTAGCAGCAGTCGAAGTAGAAGCTGTAGTTCTAGTATGGGTAATCGTAGTGTTAGTCGTAGTACTAGCCGTGGTAGTAGTAGTAGTAGTCGTAGTAGTACTAGTAGTAGTAGTAGTAGTGGTAGTAGTAGTAGTGGTAGTAGTAGTTGTACTACTAGCAGAAGTCGTAGGCGTAGTGGTAGTAGTAGTGGTGGTAGTGGTAGCAGCCGTAGCCGTAGAGTCGTGTTCGTCGTGCCCGGGGTGGAACTAGAAATTGAAGTCGCAGTAGTAGTAGTTGTAGTAGTAGTAGTAGTAGTAGCAGTAGCAGTAGTAGGAGCAGGACTACTAGTAGTAGTTGTAGTAGTAGTAGTAGTAGTAGTAGTAGAAGTCGTAGAAGTAGTGGTAGTAACAATAGTAGTGGTGCTGGTGGTAGTAGTAGTAGTAGTAGTAGTCGTAATAATAGTTGTGGTAGTCGTAGCCGTAGCAGTAGTAGTAGCCGAAGCAGCAGTGGCAGCATACGTAGTAATGGTAGCAGACGTAGTAGTAGTAGTCGTAGTAATAGTAGTAGTAGTAGTAGTCGTAGTCGTAGTAGTAGTAGTAGTAGTAGTAGTAGTAGTCGTGAGTAGTAGTGGTAGTAGTAGTAGTAGTAGTAGTAGTCGTAGTAGTAGTAGTAGTAGTAGTAGTCGTAGTAGACGTAGTAGAAGTAATAGTAAAAATAGTAGTGGTACTAGTCGGGGCAATGGGGGTGGTAGCGCAAGTAATAGTCGTATTGGTAGTGGTGGTAACCGTAGGAACAGTCGTGGAAATAGTACTCGTAGCACTCGTAGTAGTAGTATGAATCGTAACAGTCGTAGTCGTAATAATACTAATACTAGTAGTCTTGGTAGCGGAACTTTTAGCAATACTAGCCATAGGGGTCGTATAGTTCTAGTCGCAGTCGTAGTCCCAGGAATAGTAGTAGTAGTAGTAGTAGTAGTAGTAGTAGTAGTAGTAGTAGTCGTAGTAGTCGTGGAAGTCGTAGTAGTAGTAGTAGTAGTAGTAGTAGTAGTAGTAGTAGTAGGACTAGTAGTAGTAGTAATAGTAGTAGTAGTAGTAGTCGTAGTAGTAGTAGTAGTAGTAGTAGTAGTAGTAAGAGTAGTATTAGCAGCCGTACTCGTAGTAATTGTAGTCGTACTAATCGTAAGAATAATAATTAGTCGTCGTCGTAATAATAGAAGCCATAGTCGTAATAATAATGGTGTTAGTCGTCGTCGTAGTAGTAGCGGTAGTAGTAGTAGTAGTAGTGGTAGCCCCCAGTGTGGTAGTGGTGGCAGTGATAGTAGTACTACTACTAGTCGTCGTTGTGATAATAGTAGTGGTCGTAGTAGAAGTAGTGGTAGTAGTAGTAGGAGCAAAAGTAGTAGTAACAATAATGATAGAAGTCGTAGTAGTAGTAGTAGTCATAGTAACCGTGGGATTAGTAGTAGTAGTAGTGAAAGTCACAGTAGTGTAGGAGTAGTAGCACTAACAATAGTATTACTAGTACTACAGGCATCCGTAATAGTCGTAGTCGTAGTACTCGTAGTAGCCGTATGTAGGTAATAGTAGGTGTATGCAGTCGTCGTACGATGCGTCGCACTAATAGCAGCCATCGTGGAAATAACACATGTAATAATAGCAGGAGTAGTGGTAGTAGTCGTAGTCGTAGTAGTAGTAGTAGTAGTAGTAGTAGTAGTAGTCGTCGTAGTGGTAATACTCGTAATGGTAGTGGTAGTGTTAGTGGTAGTAGTAGTAGTAGTAGTAGTAATAGTAATAGTAGTAGTAGTGGTAGTAGTAGTAGTCGTCGTAGTAATAGTAGTCGTAGTAGTAGTAGTAGTAGTAGTAGTCGTAGTAGTAGTAGTAGTAGTAGTAGTAGTAATAGTAGTAATGGTAGTGGTAGTCGTAGTAGTAGTAATAGTAGTAGTAGTAGTCGTAGTAATAGTAGTAGTAGTAGTAATAATTGTAGTAGTAGTAGTAGTAGTAGTAATAGTAGTAATGGTAGTGGTAGTAGTCGTAGTAGTAATAGTAGTAGTAGTAGTCGTCGTCGTAGTAGTAGTAGTAGTAATAGTAGTAGTAGTAGTGGTAGTAGTAGTCGTAATAGTGGTAGTAGTGATAATGGTATTAGTCGCAGTAGTAGTAGTAGTAGTAGTAGTAGTAGTAGTAGTGGTAGTGGTAGTAGTGGTAGTAGTGATAGTAGTAGTGGTAGTAGTAGTAGTAGTAGTAGTAGTAGTAGTAGTCGTAGTAGTAGTAGCAGCAGCAGCAGTGGCAATAGTAGTAGTAGTAGTAGTAGTAGTAGTCGTAGTGGTGGTAGTAGTAGTAGTAGTATCAGTAGTAGCAATAGCAGCAGTAGTAGTCGTAGCCGTCGTAGTAGTAATCGTAGTCGTAGCCGTAGTCGTAGTCGTAGTCGTAGTCGTAGTAGTAGTAGTAGTAGTAGTAGTAGTAGTAGTAGTAGTAGTGGTAGTAGTGGTAGTAGTGATAGTAGTAGTAGTGGTAGTAGTAGTAGTAGTAGTAGTACTAGTAGTAGTAGTCGTAGTCGTAGTAGTAGTAGTAGCAGCAGCAGCAGTGGCAGTAGTAGTAGTAGTAGTAGTAGTCGTAGTAGTAATAGTAGTCGCAGTCGTAGTAGGAGGAGTAGAACACGTAGTAGTAACACTGGTAGTGGTAGTAGTACTAGTCGTAGTTGTCGTACAAGTAATAACATATTAGTGGTAGTCGTAGTCGTAGTAGTAGAAGTAGTCGTAGTACTAGTAGTAGTAGTAGTAGTAGTAGTAGTAGTAGTAGTAGTAGTAGTAGTAGTAGTAATACTAATAGCCAGGAGTCGTGTTGACATGAGTCAGTGTGCTGGTACGGTCAGTAAGATGGAATGGACCAGGCACAGGTGCAGCAAGAACATCGCCGTTGCCCGGAATGCGTGGCAGCATGATGGGCGCCGACGAGATGGTGATTATGATGATGATGGAGAATGTGTTGATCAGGCTGGTGATATTTGTGATGTTGCTAATGATCACGATGGCGACAGTGATGCTGATAATGATGCGTGTGTGTGTGGTGTGGGGGTCGGGGTGGCAATGATGGTGTTGACTGTGGTTACGGTCAGATGCTTGTGAGCATGGCCACGAAGGGGGGAACAGGATGCGGGGTAATCATGATGAGCTCCGATGGGGAAGGGTGGAGATGGAAATGGAGGGTTTTGTGGAGGACGGGGCGGTGGCACAGAGGATGATGATGGTGATGATGACGACGACGGTGATGATGATGATGATGATGATGATGATGATGATGATGATGATGATGATGATGATGATGATTATGATGATGATGATGATGATGGTGATAATGGTGTTGGTGATGTTTGCACCCACCCCCAGCGCCTTTCGTCTTCGTCTGTGAGTTCGGTTTCTTCTTTGTCTCGGCCTCCGCGCTCTCGGCGCCGAGCGCCGCGAGGACTTCCGCCGCAGCCGCTACCATACAACTGCCTCTGCTACATTGCGCCACATGTGCACGGGCTTTGTGATCCAGGATTAGCCAAGCAAGCTGGGGAAGGCAAAGTATCCAACTTACCATCAAAATGCGTGGCGGGCGATTCGAAAAAGAAGGTCATCGCTGTAGCGTCCGTGTACGGCTTGTGCATGAACAGAGGTATTGCCTTGTATTCGATACTGGGGTTTGCAGGAAGAAACCCACGCACGAATGCGAACTGCCCTGCGCTAGACTCGGCACGATTCGGGAAAACAGGAACCTCAGAAAAGTCTACGTCGTCGCTGTCTTCTTCGCGGGCCTTTTGCGAGGCGGAAGGACCAGCAGGGGATCGCGAGCATCATCGCGTCCACCTAAAGATCCATCGGCAAGCCGACGATCAGATGCACCAAATCCTCCATGACCATCCGCACCAGCAGGAATGCCACGATCACCACCGTGTGCACCAGAAGCTCCGTGGGCATCTGCGCCCCCGTGAACACCGCAAGAACCACCAGGAATCTCATCGGCAGGCCGACGAGCAAGAGCTCAAGGGAAACTCGGTGCACCCCCGTCGCACGATCCACCCAAAGCTAGGCCAGCAGGCCGTCGATCGAAGGGGCCAGGAACATCATGAGTACCAGCGCCGCCGCGAACGCCATCAGCAAGTCGACGGTCAGGCACACCAGAAACTCCGTGACGTCCGCGCGACCATGAATGCCACGAGAATTCCCAGGAATGTCAGCAGCAAGCCAACGTTCAGAAGCACCGAGGCGACTCTGAACACCCCAATCGCTACGGCCACCATGGGCCTGGCCAAGATCGCTATTGCCAGGCCGACGACCGAAAGAATAACCGTGGACACCATGAATACAAGCACCGCCAGGAACCCCAGGGGCGGCGCGATCTTTGGCGCCATCGGTAGGGCGACGATAGAAGGGACCAGGGACATCAGGAGTACCAACACCATGAACGGCCGCCCAACCAGGAACTCCACTAGCGCGGCCAGGCCCGCCATGAGCAGTCCGACGATCAGGACCCTCAGGAATCTCACCAGCACCTGCAGCGCTGGGATGGTCCGCTCCTCCACCTCCATGATGAACGGCATCTTCATGAATGCTTTTTACCACCCGCCGGTTGACCACCAAAATCTACGAGAGCAGCGAACACCCGGACAGCATGGCCAGTACCTCCATGATGAGCGGCTCCAGCATCAGCATGAGAATCGGCATCTCAAGAAAGATCGGCCCCAGCACCGTACGTAGAAGGAACCGTCTTGAGTGTGACCGACGCACGTGACTCCCCAGACGAAGAAACATGACCATGATCCACAGCCACCGCCTCAGGCACCGCCATCAGCAACGATTGAACCAATACGGTTGGAAATGTATTGCGCATCTAAGGGGCGCAGACACGCACAAAGACGAAATGCACCAAGATCCGTCCAGGGTACGTGTTGAGCCTGCAGCGGCACTGTCGTCCAAGGATACGTTGACCCAAAGTCAATTCAAGCCTGGCCGAACACACCATCGCAGCGCCACCGCGAAGGAGCGGCATCAAGCATTGTTCTTATGATTAATGTGGCGGTGGTGACGAAGAGGTCACGACTAAACGGAGGCGGGGAAACTATGCCGAGTTCTGAGGGTGGTGGTAGGGCCAAGTAGGCGGCACGATGATGATAATGATGAGGATGAGAAGGCGGACGATTATGATGATGGGGACGGCGATGATGGTGCTGATGGTGGTACTTTTAGTGATTGTGGGTAGTGGTGATAATCATGGTGGAACTGATGATCAGGATGATAAGTGAGAGGGCAATCATGAATATTAACGATGAGAAATGCGGGATCAGGCGGGCAGCTCCCCAAAGGAAGTGATGTTGTCATCAGCTCCAAAGAAGCCCTTCTGTAATCCGCCTCAACAGGAATCCTTCTGTAACTCGCCACAAAAGGAACTCATGTGTAATAGAGAAACCACTTGCAATTCGCCGCAAAACGTGATTTGATATTGCTATCGCTATCGTCGTCGTAGGTGGACGCCGTCGTCAACGCCATCGCCATGCTCCCGGGGCCGAGACGACGCGATTAGAGGAAGTTGACGCTCGTTGGGTAACAATTAACAGAAGAGATGGCGCACACGCGGTGCGTGTGTGTGTTGTGTGTGTGTGGACATTTTCGGAGATACACCCGTGCTTCTTAGAAGGCGCGCGCCTTGTCTATAGATGTAGGGCCCGCGCCTTCTAAGAAGCAGCCTCCTTCAAAGAATCCTTACCGCCTCCCCGTATCATCCCGTGCGCGCAGCCAAGGGTGGCGTGAGGAGGAGGAGGAGAAGGAGGAGGAGGGAGGAGGGAGGAGGGAGGAGGGAGGAGGGAGGAGGGAGGAGGGAGGAGGGAGGGAGAGGAGGGAGGGAGGGAGAAGGGAGGGAGGGAGGGAGGAGGAGGGAGGGAGGGAGAGGAGGGTGAAGGGGAGGAGGGAGGAGGAGGAGGAGGAGGAGGGAAGGAGGAGGAGGGAGGCGAGGAGGAGGAGCGAGAGGAGGAGGAGGAGGAGGGAGGAGGAGGAGGAGGGAGGAGGAGGAGGAAGGAGGGAGGAGGAGGAGGGAGGGAGGAGGAGGAGGTCGATCTCCCCTCCTCTCTCTCGCACCCGCACCCGCAACCTCCCTGCTCGGGCTGCCTGCGCCGGGCGCGGCCGCACGCCCGCGACCTCGGGAGGCTGGCTGGCGCCGACGGCGCCGCCGCGCCGGCTCCTGGGGAGGGGGGGAGGTCCTCCTCCCCTCTCCCTCCTCCTTCCTCCATCCTCTCCCTCCCTCCTCCTCCTCCTCCCTCCTCCTCCTCCTCCCTCCTCCTCCTCCCTCCCTCCTCTCCTCCTCCTCCCTCCTCCCTCCTCCTCCTCCTCACTCCTCCTTCCTCCCTCCCCTCCTCCTCCTCCTCCTCCTCCTCCTCTTCCTCCTTTCCTCCTTCCTCCTTCCTCCTTCCTCCTTCCTCCTTCCTCCTTTCCTTCCTCCTTCCTCCTTCCTCCGTCCTCCTTCCTCCTTCCTCCTCCTCTTCCTCCCCCTCCTTCTCCCTCCTTCATCTTGCGGGAGAGGAGGAGGGCATGGATCGACCTAAGCAGTGTTCTTCGTCTTCGCTTTCGTGTTTTCACTCGCTTTGTCTTCACGCCGCCTCTGCTGCAAAACGGAGTCGAAACGAAAACGGCCCACGAGATCGCCAAAACACCGCTCAGGTCGTCCCCTGGAGCAGGGTGCAAGGCGCCCCGGAAGGCACGAACTCCAGGATACCCCCTGCGTTCCCGCATGTCATGGATGTTCGTCCTCCCCTCCATGCTCGAATATTTTCATGTGCCGATCCTGGGCGTCTATGCGTATCTACGTATGTCTCTGCCTATGTTTCCTTACTGGATGGGGGCGAGAGGGAGACGAGACGATTGGCACGCTCGACATGGGTGCGGAAAGAGTCTCGGCACGACACCCAGCAGCAAATATGGGCGTTGCCCGAAACCGACAGCGGCAGCTGATGGGCAATCGGGCCGGGCGAAAGGGGGGGATAGCAAAGGGGGGGGTTGAGAATCAGCTCACGTAGCTGACTTTCTCGGCGCCTCCCAGCGCCAGAGGCGGCCATGTCTCGAGGAATGTGCCCCTCGGTGAGGCCGAAACCAGCTGCATGCAGCAGATTTCGTAACCTCCCCTTTCCCTATCCCCCCCTTTCGTTCGGGCCGACTGATGGGCAAGCGACTGCTTGTCTCAAGTGGACAGCGTCCGCGGCAGCACCGACAGCGCAGCCCGGTTCACCACAGGCATGATCTGCCGTCGGTCTTCGTCACAGTTCTTCTCATGCTCGCGCCGGTCCTCCAGGACGAGGAGGGAGGAGCGGGCCTCCCTTCGCTTCCCCGCGCCTCCCCCCCTGCGCCTCCTCCCCACTCCCCCTCCTGCTCCCTTGTATTGTGTTCTCCCTCGCTCTCGCTCGCTCTCTCTTTTTTTTTGTTTCTCTCTCTCTCTCTCTCTTTTTTTTTGTTTCTCTCTCTCTCTCTCTCTTCTTCTGTCTTTCTCCTTCCCTCTCCCCTGGGGAAGGGGATCCCAGATGCCCCCGAGGAGGTCCCCGAAGTGCCCAGCCAAGGCCCTCGTGGAGGCCTCCAGGCAGGCCCAGGTGGGCGGCGAGCGAGGGGGGGAAAAAGGAGAAGGAGCAGGCCTTCTCGGAAGGCGGCGGGACTTCTCAGAAGCCCTCGCACCTTCCGAGAAGTCTGCTCTGCGTCTTTTGGGGAAGGCTTGGAACACTTCTCAGAAGTCTGGGGGACTTCCGAGCCTTCTGAGAAGGCCCGCTCCTCCCCCTCCCCCTCCCCCTCCTCCTCCTCCTCCTCCTCCTCCTCCTCCTCCTCCTCCTCTTCCTCTTCTTCTCCTCCTCCTCCTCTGCCTCCTTCCCCCCTCATGGTGGTGGTGGTGGAACACGGGCCCGAGCCATGCCCGGGCGAGAGCCAAGCAGCGCTTCAGTCGTGCATCCGCCGCGCTGCCGGCGCTGCTGCCATGTTCCCCCGGGCGCGGCAGCGGATGTGAGTGGCAGCGCAGCCGGATGCTACTGAGATGACGAGGTCTTGGTCGCGGGTACCGTCGGACCTAGGCCAGAAGAACATCCCTCAAGAACATGAGACCCTCCGCCAGCCAAAACACAGAACATCCAAGGGTATCCTGCCCACGGTGCGCACGAACATCCAACAAGCACGAAGAACATTAGGGTACCCTCCCCGAGTCGGCTTCGATCTTATACCTCGGTCCGACTGTATGAACCGTTAGGCACGTGATGCCACCGTCGATACGTCGCATTGGATCCACTCTGGATCGAGTGGAGCAGGGCAGGACATGGGGATGGGCAGGATGGTGAGGGGGACGACGAGGGCAACAAAAACGACCCCCGAGCGCATGAAGAGCAGCTCGTGTCCGACATGTTTCGAGAAACATCCTGCAAAGCGGAAGAAAGGCGCCATGCAGTTAACCGCTCTGGTGCTCAGAGTGCAGAAGGCGTACGACCACGAGACCAAACGCATGAAGCTGCACACGCGTCTTCAGAATCATTCGGACCTCCAACTGACTGGGGAGCACTGTCGGACCCAGGCCAGAAGAACTTCCCTCAAAAAACATGAAACCCTCCGTCGGCCAAAATAAGCAGAACATCCGAGGGTAAGCACCCTCCCCAGGATGCACAAGAACAACCAACACACACGAAAATCATTTGGGCACCCTCCCCGAACCGACCTCGATCTCGGTCCGCCGCCGATTTGCTTCTTGGGTCAAAACTCGGGTCTCTGGCGGCCGTTCGGGACGCTCCCGGCATCTCCGGAACGCCCTCGGCGAGGCGCTGCTGCTGGCAATCATCCCGAGGCTCGAAAACCGCCGAGACACGACGAAAACGTCCGAACACTTCGAACCTCGAACTCGAACCTCGACACCTTGGTCCGACTGTACCCCAGGGAACGGCTCGAGACTCTCATGGCCCCCCTCGTGACGAAGGCTGGAGGCCAGCAGCTCGTCGGACCGGCCCCGCGCGCGGCACTCTCTGGAGCGGCGTGGCAACGCACACGGTGCTTTCCACACGGCGCGTGCACATCTGCTGTGCATATGATGCCCCGCTCACGTGGACTTGGCCCGGGGAGCTCCCCCTCCTCCTCCTCCTACTCCCCCTCCGCCTCCTCCTCATCCTTCTCCTCTCCCCCTCCTCCTCCGCCTCCTCCTCCTCCTGCTCCTGCTCCTGCTCCTCCTCCTCCTCCTCCTCCTCCTCCTCTTCCGGCTGTGGACGTGTGCCTCCGTGGGTCCTCTTCTCAAATCAAAGCACGGCGGGTGCGACGCACCACTTCGGAGGCGGCCCCCGGCTCGCACGGAAGGGCGTGCGGCACGCGGGCCTCTAGACGGCGGAGAGGGGGGGACGGGGGGACATACGTGGAGGGGACGGAGGCAGGGGAGGGCGGGGGGCGCCATCTCTACGTGGCTCGGCGTGGCCTGGTCCTGTGTGGCTATTGACGGCAGGGCCACTCGCACGGAGCATGAGGGGAGAAGAAGAAGCTGGGGGAGAAGACAGGAGGTGACGACAGGTTGCGACAGAAGGAGACGACAGGAGGAGGCGACATCAGGAGGAGGAGGAGGAGGAGGAGGAGGAGGAGGAGGAGGAGGGGACGAAGGAGGGGACGCAGGAGGGGACGCAGGAGGAGGAGCAGGAGGGGAAGGGGGAGGGGGAGGGGGAGGGGGAGGAGGAGGAGGAGGAGGAGGAGGAGGAGGAGGAGGAGGAGGAGAAGGGTGAGGAAAAGGAGGAGGAGGAGGAGGAGGCGGGGAAGGAGGAGGCGAAGGAGACGCAGGGGGAGGAGGAGCAGGAGCAGGTGGATGATGCTGATGATGCTGATGCTGATGCTGATGCTGATGATGATGATGATGATGATGATGGTGGTGGTGGTGATGATGATGATGATGATGATGATGATGATGATGATGATGATGATGGTGGTGATGATGATGATGATGATGATGATGATGATGAGGGTGCTGCTGATGTTTATGATGATGCTGGTGATGTTGATGTTACTGTTGATGTTGATGAGTATGCTGATGATGAGGATGATGAGGATGATTATGTTGATGTAGGTGTTGATCTTGCTGCTGCTGATGCTGATGCTGATGATGGTGTCAATGATGATGATGCCAATGATGATGCCAATGATGATGTCTATGATGATGTCTATGATGATGACGCCGAGGAGGATGAGAAGGATGAGGATGAGGATGAGGATGATGATCACGATGGTGATGGTGATGGTGATGATTATGATGAGTATGAGTATGATGAGTATAATGAGTATGATGAGTATGATGATGATAATGATGATAATGATGATGATGCTGATGATGATGGTGATGAGGGTGATGCTGATGTTTATGATGATGCTGATGATGTTGATGTTACTGTTGATGTTGATGAGTATGCTGATGATGAGGACGCCGAGGATGATTATGTTGATGTAGGTGTTGATCTTGCTGCTGCTGATGCTGATGATGATGATGATGTCAATGATGATGATGCCAATGATGATGCCAATGATACTGTCTATGATGATGACGACGAGGAGGATGAGGAGGATGAGGATGAGGATGATGATCACGATGGTGATGGTGATGGTGATGGTGATGATTATGATGAGTATGAGTATGATGAGTATGATGAGTATGATGAGTATGCTGATGATGATGATGATGGTGATGATGATGATGCTGATGATGATGATGATGATGATGATGATGATGATGGAGGAGGAGGAGGAGGAGGAGGAGGAGGAGGAGGAGGAGGAGGAGGAGGAGAGGGAGGTTCACGAGGAGGGGAGAAAGAGAGAGAGAGAGAGAGATAGGCGCACCAGGGGGTGCCAAGAAGGAGGATGAGCACAAGGAGGCGGAGAGGGGGCCGGGGAGGAAGAGGCGGCGGCGGAGGAGGGCCGCGGCGGCCTGAGGGCCGAGCGGCGTCCGCCGGCCCCGGCGCCCGGCACAGGCGGCTGCGTGGGCGCGCCGCCGGCGCCGAGGTCGGGGGCGCCTGCGCGGGGGCCCTCTTCCCAGGAGGAGGAGCAGGAAGAGGAGCAGGAAGGAGGAAGGAGGAGGAAGAGGAGGAGGAGGAGGAGGAGGAGGAGGAGAGGAGGCGGAGGAGGAGGAGGAGGAGGAGGAGGAGGAGGAGGAGGGCGGGAGGAGGAGGAGGAGGAGGAGGAGGAGGAGGAGGAGGAGGAGGGAAGGGGCGGAGGGGGAGGAGCAAGAGGAGGGGCACCAGCGGTAGCAAGAGCGGGCGGCCAAGAGCACGAGACGAGCGAAAGAGAGGTCCTCCGAGCCCAGTGGGCGGCGGCGGGGGCGCCCCCGGAGCGCACTGGATCTTCATGCGAGAGCAAGAGCGCAGGGGCGTGAGAGAGGCGGCACGGGGGCGCGAGCGGGCGGGGGAGGAGCAGGAGGAGGAGGAGGAGGAGGAGGAGGAGGAGGAGGAGGAGGACCAGCTGAAACCCAAGACGCAACAGCGATGCTGCAATAAGCCCTCCCTCGAAATTCCCTCCGCAAATGTCCTTATGACATGTCTTTTCATTTCGGGAAGTGGCCCCTTAGACGACAACCGTCAGACAATCCTCGATCGTGCCAACACGATGCTCCTTGGACGTCGACGCCGTGGATCAGCGTGGATGTTGCGCCCTGACAACCGAAAACCGTGGCAGAACTCCGTTCCTGGAACTCCAACGCCACGAATCAACGTGGTCAGTGCGTCCTGACGGCCATAAATCGCGCCAGAACGCATTTCTGGAACTTCGACCATACGAACTCTTAAAGCTGTTGCAGACATCTAATACAGAGCCTTCCATCCTGGAAGCTATTCAAAACTGTTGAGTCGAAAGTGCGCGGCAATAATGCGATAATCAGATTTTGAAACCTACCTGCCCTCCATACGTTTGAAGATAATGTGCGTGACGCTCAGACGAGAGCAACCATCCGCGAAGCTACCGCACACATTCGAAACGAATGTGCGCGATGCTAAAGCGATAACCGCATTAAAAAACACCCGCACTCCATCTGTGAAACTGTTGTATTTTCGAGTTTCACGATCACAGCTGGCGAAGAAGTCCCAGGCGAAACACCTTGCCAGCTCTACCGACATGTCTGGGGGGTGCGACAGGAAGGAGTTTTTTGTAAGGAACAAGGCTGGAGGTGGACACGACAAGGAGGAGCAGGAAAAGGAGGCCAGGCGGAAGGCGCGAAAATCTCGCAGGACGGCGCGAAGACGACGCGATCTCAACCAAAATGTTGGAGGGAGGCGATCGAGAGTACATCAATCCGTGCACTTCGCGCTCGAATGGAGGAAGCCGCGTGAAGAGGAAGCGGCATGAGCGAGGAGGCAAGGGACGCAAGCTCTCCACCTGCACCGACCCTGGCTGCTCTAGTCCTCGGCGCAAGAGACGCGCGAAATTGGCCTGGCCAGGCACGGCCCAGGTGGATAGTGGGCGCCCCCAGGCAGGGAGTGCCGACGAACGAGCAACACACACCCTCATACGAACGAACAACACACATCCATACCCTTAGGGGGGTCGGAGAGGGCTGTGGGTTCTCGGGGGCGCGCAAGCACGGATTAGCGATCCATGGATCTGGCGCGCGGCCGCCGAATCCGTGGCTCGGGGGAGGTGCCCTCGCCCCAAAATGCGGCCGGTGCCGCCTCGTTCGGCGGAAGTCCGCGATTCCAAGAATGGAACCGGGGCCCGTCGCGAATCCACGCCCCCTGGATGCAGTCTGCGATCGCCCGAGGTTCGTGCTCTGTCGGGCGGGGGTCCTCCCCGCTCGAGCGGCAGCGTCCCCCCCAGAGGGTCCGGCCGCCCGCACCCCACACCCAGGGCCAGTCCCCCTCTCCCAGCGACCCCCCTAATTATGGGCACGTGTGTGTGTGTGTGTGTGTGTGTGTGTGTGTGTGTGTGTGTGTGTGTGTGTGTGTGTGTGTGTGTGTGTGTGTGGGGGGGTGCGTTGTTCGTTCGACAAGTGCGGCGAGCGATCGAACGAGCGAGCGTCCTTGATGCCGGGCGTCGGCAGGGCCGGGTTCAGTGGGACCAAGTTTGATGATGTGCACTGGGGGACGCCCCCCCGCCCCACTCCACTAGCCGAAAGCTGCCGCCGCCCGAAACACACCAGCCACGGCAGACCTGGCTTAAAGACTCTGGTGTGTGCTGGGGGCTTCGAGGCCCCATCACTAACGGGCTCCCCTCAGTGGGGGTCCTAGCTAAACCCGACCTCAGCGGAACCCAGGGGCAAACTCTTGAGCCGATGCTGGCCCCGGGGAAGACAGACGCGAGGGCCTTCGCCCAATACACGGTCATTGCTTGCTTGCGGTGCTCTCCCGTCGTACAGTCGGACCCAGGCCAGAAGAACATCCCTCAAGAACCTGGGACCCTCCGCCGGCCAAAACGCACAGGACATCCAAGGGTACCCTCCCCGGGACGCACAAGAACATCCCGCGACGCGAAGAACACTAGGGTACCCTCCCCGAACCCATCTCGACTTTATGCCTCGGGCCGGCTGTACTCACCCACTCGCGGGAGGGAGGTGGGGAAAGGAGGGTTGGAGGGGGGGGATGGGAGAGGATGGCTAGGCAGGAGGGAAAAGGGGGGGAGGCGGAAGGCGGGGAGGGGGGTGAGGACAGGAGGAAGGCGGACGCGGAAGGCTAGAGAACGGTAGGGGGGAAGGAGGGGAGGGGGAGGGGGAGGCAGTGGAGGAGGAGGAGGAGGAGGAGGAGGAGGAGGAGGACATGGTGGAGAAGAAAAACGGTGAGGAGGTAGGGGGCGGGAGCGGGACGAAGAAGGGAAGGACCTACCCGTCGCGCGCCTTTGCCCCTGCGCCGCCGCTGCGCGCACTGCCCCTCCGAGTGCTCCTCGGGAGGTCTGTGCTGTCCGCCCCTTCCTGGCTCCTCCCTCCTCCCTCTGGCCTCCCCCCGCGTCTCTCGTCGTCGTCCCCCTTCCTCCTCCCTCCTCACTCCTTCTCCTCCCCTTCCTGCCTCCTGGCGGCTCAGAAGCTATTTCAGGCTATTCCCCCAAAGCGGTCGACAGCATGCTGAAACCGCCTACTGCACCTCAGAACCCCCCTCGCCGAGGCTCAAATATTCCATTCGCCGCCGTCGCCTGCCCGCGCTCTGGCTGGGAGGGACTGGCCTGGTGCCATCACGCCACCACTCGCCAACTACAAGCGACTCGCCTCGCGCAGTGCGCTTCAAGCATTTCTGGCCAGAGTCCGTTCGGAAGCCACGGCACGGTTCGGCTAACAACTGTAGCCTGCCTCCGCCGCCTGGCCGCTGAGATCCTAGACAGGCGCAGCGGTTGCACCAGAATTGCCCGTTCTTGGTAGACACGCTATGCGTTCTGTGAATGGCTTTACCGTGCACCACAATAGAATGAACATCGCATGAACGAACGTGCTGCGGGCGGTCGCAGCTAAAAGCGTGCACGACTGGTAACCCTTGGCGCCGCGGATTGTCCATGAGCCAATCCAGCAAAGAAAGCATGCCGCCCACGTATTGTTGGCCAGTTGGGACATTTGGTGGCCACTGGATCGCTCAAGCGCTAAGCGTCTCGCTGTCCAGGGCAGCATCCCGCGGGGAGCGCGCGCCCGCGGTAACCGCTCCTTGCCAGCAAATGCACAGGCGGCCGCATGCACTGCAGCCAGGCGTTCGTGCACCTGGATGGTAAGCAAGTCTAGGCGGTGCAGCTCGCGCGCCTCGGTCTCAATACGGCGCGCGGCAAGCTCAGCCCCGCGCTTCGCCAACACATCCGCAGTCTCATTCCCAACACTGGCGTGCAGGGGCTGCTGGCAAAGCTGCAAGGACCTGACTTCCAGGTGCGAAAAAAACACTTCCTCAGCTCAACGTGTCCCCCCGGTCGGTGCTCCAAGGCAGCCTTGACGCGTCGCCACCACCGGCGGAGCTGCCCACTGGGCCGTTCGTTGCGCCTGGCCAGCATGCCAACCGTCATACACAACCTGGCTGTCCGTGTAATTAAATGGTGGCGTCGCCTCGAGTGCCCCGGAGTGCCCATGCAAGCGCCGCCAATTCAGCGCTCGGCACTGTCTGTGCGCCATCCACGGTGCCGCACCATCCGGGGATTTCAGCATCAACAACAGCGTCTTGGGCCATCCTCAACGCGACCCCCCAGCCGGCGCTATGCTGGTGGCCGACCCGTCAAAATAGATCTCCGAGCAACTGAGTGAGGATGCCTCTGTGGCACCGCCGTGCTCCTCCCAGACGGGCGTGGCGCAGTCCACGGCAAAACACTGTTGCACGCCAGAGTCCCACTGCAGGGGAGGCGGTACTGAACACCAGCTGGCAAGCGGAATTCCTTGTAGACAAAAACAAGCGTTCTGCGAGTCATTGCTCATGCTTGCCAAGGCCCGCTCGCGAAGCCTCTGGGTCTTTTGGACCCACTCGGTGTCGATGTACGCGATTTCCGGGCACTCCCACACCGGATGGCGAACGGTTTCGGGCGCCTACTGGCAGCGCGGGCATATGCCATATTTGTCTGATCGCCTGCATCTTTGCAGCGTTGCGCAGTCCAGACAGCGCAGACGGCAGCTGCCTCAAGAGCGCCCGCCTCCCCGACGAAGTCTTTGGACCGCAGCTTCGACACCTTGACCTTTAACCATCGTCAGGTCCCCTCCCTCGGAGAGGCCAGCGCCTTGGTCGTGCCTGCTGGCCTGTCGCCACAGGTGTTTGCGGACGCTCTGCGCAATCGCTTCTTGGACATCCTCATGGTCGCAATCCGCATCAGGATCCAACTGCCATTGGCGCTCGTCAGGGTCGACCCATTCGTCGGGATGCACGGGCTACCACCCCAACTGCAGTGACGTCAAGATCAGAGCACCGATGGGGCCCGCAGCAGCCCGCCAGCGTCCGCGAGGACGCATGCTAGCTAGCTGGCCTCGCCCGCGTAGCCCTTTAGCCCTCGCGAAGGCGCTCGCGCAAGTCAGTGCGCCGGCGCCACATGAGGATCCATTCCCGCACCTGCCGCTTCACCGAAGCGCACCATGGCTCTTGGTCACCGTAACGCAATACCAAGGTGGTAGCCGTGCACCGCCCACCAGTACTGTGGGCTGTCAGTTCCGCTGCGATGGATCGCTGCTTGCGTATGTCCGTTGGCATCATTCCTATGGCAGCGGTATCGTAGCCAACCTTAGCTCCCAAATTCGTGTTCTGCAACTGCACTGCACATCTCCGGCGTTGCTTCCGAAGACCTGCAAACAAGCGTGCACGACGGGCCCGGAGCGTCATGCACCGCCAACGCTTGGCCGCAGTGGAGCGCCGGCGCCGTCGTCCCAGCGCAACGTCAATGCCAAGGTCACGCACGGCAGTGGCCCGTGGACACCTTCACGCCGTGCTTGGCCAAGATGCCCTGCGCGAAACTGGCATCTGAGGCATCCGTTGTGAGAGGTTTCGGCTTCTTGGAAACCCAGAGGTTGTCATCCAGGCAGCCCGTCGCGATCTCCTCCGCCGCTGCACCCAGGAGGGGGGCCACTTGTCCTGCGGGCGCCTCCACGCGAACCACGATGTCGTTCACGAACTCACGGATTCTCGCCCAGGGCACCCTACTGTGAGCACGGTCCAAGATGTTGTATAGCATCACCCTGGCTCAAGTGTTCGCGCTGAAGCACCCCGCCACGGGGCCGTTGAATGGCACGACGCTCTCTGCAAAAGCGCCGTTCGCCTTGACCACCCTGGGGCGTAAGTAGATCGACGTGCACATCATGAACTCCACCGCCAGCACCTCGCACTCGATGCCCTTGTCAATGAGCATGACTGGGTCCACAGAGTCGTAGAACTTCCCCAAGTCCAGGAAGAACTCGCCCAATGACATTTCGCCCACAGCCGCGCAAGTCTCATCCAGGGCCAGCGCCACGACTGCCGCCCGCATCGCGCACGACCCGGCCACCGCCGCATCCCACAATCCCGCTCGGACCTCGCACCGTTCGGTCAGGTTGGTGCGACACATCTTGCCCCACACTCTGATCGGCACTGACGGTAAGCCGATGGGGCGCTCCTCGCCTGGCTCTTCCAGCAGCGCCTTGGCAAGCAGAGCGCACCAAACGTGCAGCAGTCGGTGGGGCCACATCAACGCCTGCTCTGCCTGGTCGAGAATCTCAACGAGCCATTGCTTCGCCATCGGGCATATTGCCTTCAAGTGGCTCGGGCGCCTTTGGGCAGGCCCTTGTCCCGTGCCCTCTGGGGCAAGGCCCGCACGGCAACGTCAACCGCCTCCACTTAGTGCAACGGCCGCTCATCCAGGGCTTCGCGCGCCTGCGACCGAAGCTGCCGTAGAGCGGCATCAAACAGGCCGTGTGCTGCAATACGGCGCCATCGTTTGCTCCATTGCCGAGCTCGCGCGTCCTGGCGGCTCAGGCGGGGGGGAAGGAGAGAGGGCGCTCCTGGAGAAGAGCACCTCCCTGGCCAAGGGGGCGCCCTCCTCTCGGCGGCGCGCCCAGGGGGGAAGTGATCCTCCTCCTCCTCGATGTCCATTCCCCCCCTTTTCCATCTTTTTTTCCTGGGGGAGGGGAAAGGGCGAGGAAGGTGGTGGTGGTGGTGTGTTTTCCTGGGCGCCGTGAGTGAAAAGGGGCGGGCCTTCTCAGATGGTTCGGAAGTCTTCAGGCCTTCTGGAAAAAATCCGCGGAGCGTTCCCCGAATACTCGAGGAACAAAACACGGCATACGCATACAGTTTTTGACGGTCCGTGCGGATCTCTTGGGGCGGGACTGCGCTAGGGGCGGCATCAGACGCGCCGACAGGGGGTCCTAGCGCAGATCCAAGAAATCCGCGCGGACCGCCACAAGTTGAGGGTTCGGGAGACGCAACACACTTCTCTCAGGAGGCCGGAGGGCTTCTGAGAGGCCCTGCGCCTTCTGAGAAGGCTTTCCCTCAGGTCGAGCATGTCCCCCTACAGGCGGATGTTCGGGGACAAATGGTAACATGTCAAACCAATCTCCCAAATGGTCAGAACTCCTAGAAAAATCGTCCCCAGACTTTTTGTTTTACTATGTTTTACTTTTTTGTTTTACTATGTGTGAGTAGGCCCGACTTAAGCCTGTTTTCTCACTTCCCCTTTCATGAACGCGGTTTGGTGAAAACGACCTCGGGCCCAAACCTGGCGGCGCAAACCTGGAAAATGACGGCCGCGGCGCCCTCCGGAGAACCGAAAACGGACAATTCACCAATCGACGTGTCAGGGTGGGGGGCTCCCCCATCCTTTACACTTCCCCCCCTCGCCCGCCGCCGATCTTCGCCCTTCCATCCACCGCGGGGCGACTCGATCCGAGAGACGCGATGATTCTGCGGTCGCCAAAAATCGGGATTTTTTCTCGCGACTCCCGGCCACTTTCCAGGAACGTCTCCATTGCCGATGTCCGCAGCTACGCACTTCCCGCCCTCCATATGCTTCTGCCGGCGGCGAGCGAAGGGGGAAGTGAAAAGGAAAAGGCTCTCTCAAAGGCGGCGGGGCTTCTCAGAAACCCTCCAACCTTTGAGCAATTCTGTGCGTATTCGGGAACGGCTTCGAACACCTCTGGGAAGACCAAGGGGCCCCCGAGCCTTCTGAGAAGGCCCCCCCCTTTTTCACTTCTTCCCCGGGCTCGCCGCCGATTCTGCTGATCCTCCTCCTCGTTTTTCTCATCCTCCGTCACCCCTTGCTGCCACTGCTGTACCCATTCGTTCTTTCTCCTTGGTGCTCGATGCCCCCGCTCTCTTCGGCTTCTTTCTGATGTTCCGCCCATCAAACTTGTCGAAAGTAGGATGTCCAACATGGACGTTGTGTTGTCGTGACTAGAAGGCGCGTGGCACTAATCATTGGGACGCGAACTTCAATGCGTGCCAGACGCCAGCGCCTGGTTCATGTCAACGCGCCGCGCACGTGTTCTCGAAATGTGCGTTCCCGCGTGCGCAAGCGGGGCGCGTACTTATCACGGTTGCCGAGCCAATCGGAAACGGGGCCGCGCGCGAAAACAACCAAATGTGGTTCTCGCCAGAACGCGGCGCACAAATTTGCCCCCGAGCTTTTGCACCCACGTGGGCGCGGCGCGTAAAACTTCTCTTTGCCCGCCATGCCTGGTGACCGTCTGTCAGCCAGAGACCGCCCCCTCCTCCGTCCAGCTCCCTCCTCCTCTCCCCTCCCATTCTCTCCCCTCCTCCTCCCGCCCCCATTCTCTCCCTTCTCCCCTCCATTCTCTCCCCTCTCATTCTCTCCCCTCCCATTCTCTCACCTCTCTCCCTTCTCCTCCCCACCTCCCATTCTCTCCCTTCTCCTCTCCCCTTCTCCTCCCTCCCAAGTCGCGGAGATCGCGCAATTTTCTACGTTCCGACTGCGCATTGCGCGATTGGGTTTTGTGGGGGAGCTCAAGGTCGGCAGTGACACGCGTCCGCGGATAGAGAAAGCGTCAGCGCAATGGGAAGGGATGGGAGGGAGGGGTCGGGTGTTCGATGTGGCGCGACCTCACGTAACTTGCCCAATACCTCCTGTCCCCCTCGCCATGGAGAAAACGGCTTCTGGACCCTGGTGCCCCCCCCCCCAAGACGAGTTTCTTCTCCTGAGCCATTTTTTCTGACAATCCCGGGGCCCGCGCAAGGCCCGAAGAGGGCACCGCTTCCGTCGGGATCCGCTTCCCCAAAGGCGAACCCCCTTCCTGTCCTCCTCCCCCATCCTCCTCCTCCTCCTCCTCCTCCTCCTCCTCCTCCTCCTCCCCCTTCTCCTCGTTTTCGCGCGTGGCCGAGGCGGACACGCGCTTCAGCTCCTCAGCGACGCCATGCACGGCGCAGCTGCCACCTGACTGTGGGAACGGCCTGCTGGGCCGTCTCAGGGCGGATTATAACACCACTGTGGATGCTTCTCAGTTGGTGGTAAAGCAGCGTCGCCGCTGCGGGCACAATCAGAGATGCTGGGGATGGATCCGAAACGCGTCCCTTCTCCTCTTCTTCCTCCTCCTTTTCCGTCTCCTCCCCCTTTTCCTCCTCCCGCTCCTCCTCCTCCTCCTTCTCCTCATCCTCCACTTCCTCCTCCTCCTCCTCCTCCTCCTCCTCCTCCTCCTCCTCCCCTCCTCTCCACTCTCCTCTCCCTGCCGCCAACGGGGCGCTGCCGCGGGGGTGTCGGGCGGCTCCGCACGGGCGTCTGAAGGCAAATCGGCCCACAGCGCCTGGCGCGGGGGGGTGGCGTCAACGGCCTCTGCCTTAACCCTTCCTCTCCCCGCCTCCCTCCTTGCGGTCCCTCCCTGTGCTCCCATCGGCCAACGAGGACGGCGGTAGGGAAGGGCGCCAGCTTTACCTCCACAAAACTCAGACCTTCTTGGCCTCCAGGCGCCACTTGCCACCACCCTCTGTTTTCCGCCCTCGTTCCCTCCTCCCTGCCTCTCTACCCCCTCCCTCCGTAGCCTCCCCTGGGGGCGTTGAAACTCCGCTCGGGCGCGTGGCGCGGCTCCTCCGCGGTACCCATCCATTCGGCGAGGGAGAGAGCTTCAGGCATATCATGGTGAAACCCCAGCTTCAGGCTCATCATGGTGAAACCCCAGATGGGCGACCCCATCCATCCGGCGAGGGAGAGCTCCATCCGGCTCGACCGCCCGAAGGCGGGCGTGCTGGCCTCGGTGCGGCTGGGGCAGAGCAGGTATTTCCGCGACGTCTCCACGAGGTCCGCGCTGGGAAGCTCCGACAAGCGCGCTATCTGTGTGCTGTTCGTGGACCTGCAGAATGCTTTCCCCAGGACATGGCGGCAGGACCTGCTCTGCACCCTGGCCGACAACCTGTGGCTTGCGGACGACGTGCTCGTACTTCTGGGCAGCATGCTCGAGGAGGACCACAGCTGCATCAACCTCAACAGTGTTCATGCGGAGAGTATAGCGCAAGGAGTAGCGGAGGGGGCCCCCACGAGCCCGCTGACCTGTGATACGCGCGCCTGGGCGTCGGAGCAGGGGTGGAGATTCCCCATGGTGCAGGCATAGCCAAGCCAAACCTGGGACTGCAACGGCTAGCTTAGAAAAATATCAAACGCCACAAATATAAACTGTCGGCGCTCGAAGCGGAATTCTTGGATCCGCACCGGACCCCCCTCCGTGGCGCGCGGCAGGGGCGGCGCCGGAGGCGCCGCGGGGGGGGTGGAGGCCAGCGCTGATCCAAGAAATCCGCGCGGAACGCCAAAAGTTTATGTTTATGCCGTCTTTCTTCTTCGACATGGCGCAGGCATGGCCAGGCCGAACCTGGGGCTGCAGCGGCTAGTTAGCCATCTGTCGGGGCGCGGCGCGGGTGGCCCTGCGGGTGACGCAGGCGGTCGTTGTCGTTGTCTGTCGTCGTCGCTCGTCGTCGTCGTGGTTTGTCGCCGTCTCTGCTCGCCGTCGTCGTCGTTTCTCCTCGTCGCCGTTGGGGTCGTCGTGCGATAGGATCGTGGTCGTCGCTCGTTGTGCTCGTGGTCACTCGTCGTTCCCGGGCGGCCGGGGCGGGAGACGTTCTCCCCCCGCGGGTGGCCCCAAAGGTCGCCGTGCCGGCTGCAGCCGTCGCGGAGGGAGGCGCACGGCCCTGGCCTGGGCCTCACAGGGAGAGCTCTTCCCTGGGGGCCGCTCGGCCTCGGCGAGGGAGGGGGCTGGAGAAGGAGGAGGAAGCGGAGGAGGAGGAAGAGGAGGAGGGGGCTGGAGGAGGATGAGGAGAAGGAGGAGGAGGAGAAGGAGGAGGAGGAGGAAGAGGACGAGGACAATTCAAATCCAGCTCTATCGGATAGAGCCTATCCTCTCCCCTCCCTCCCTCCTCGCCCTCCGTCGCCTGCACCTCTTTCTTCCTCCCTTAGACATCGAAGAACACAACAACTGCATAAACACAAACTTTTGGCGCTCCGCGCGGATTTCTCGGATCTGCGCCAGACCTCCCTGATCCAAGAAATCCGCGCGGAGCGAGAAACAGGTTGTGTGTGTATGGCGTATCTCTTCTTCGAAGACAAGCGCGTTCCACTACTCGCAACAACAACTACTCGCAAATGGCCTGGATCCGCCGCGCGGGATATACGGCCCATTACATCAGGACAAGCCTGTGTTGTTTTTTGATGTTTGCGAGTAGGCACTTTGTGAGTAGTGGAACGTGCCCGCGGATCCCTCCTCCAGCCCTGTTCCCTATGACTCCTCCCCTGCAACACCGCCAAGCGCGTCATTGTGCTGGGCCGTGTACTTCGTTCGAGGCTTCCTTACAACGTACTATTGACCCCGATGCAACAAAGTCTAACAACTACCAGGATGGAGAACTGGTCGTCTCCAGAATGTGACTCTCGCCTTAGCGCAGCGCACACTCGGCTTAAACCAACCCAGCAATTACAAGGATGGAGGCTGGTTCGTTTTCAAAATGGGCTTCTAGCCTTGGCGCCGCGCGCACTCATTTAGTAAAGCGTTTCCAGCTACTACATGGGTGGAGGGGGCGAGAATGGTGCTTTCGCTTGAGACCTTCTCGCATGTTGTTGCCCGACGTTCAACATGGTGCATCAATTATTACGCGATCTTTGCTATAAGAGAACAGTCAGGCTTTCGACTTTTGGCCGAAGGGTGAGGGGTCTGGGTCTGGGCCTTTGCTTAGTCGATCTGCTTTTGCCAGTCGCGCAAGCACTGGGGAGAATGCGTCCTGACCAGTCGCCAAATGCAGCAACCAAAAGCAACCACGATCTGGTATGCGGGAAGGGGAAGGGGGGGTGGCGGGGGCCCGCGCCGATTGGCGAACCAATCGAGAGGACGGCGACTTACACGGATGGAGGGACTCCCGCTTCAAATGGGGCTCTCGCTTGAGACTTCCTGTAATTCTAAAACGAAGGCTTTGATCATGCGCAAAGTTCCAAGTGTAGAGGGCACATCTTTGTCAATACCGAACTCTCGGTGGAAACCTCCTTGACCTTCAGGACCATAACTCTTTGCATGCCATACCGTTCTAAAGATAAATGACTTGACCCTTTGCAAGGCGGGATCTGGCTCGAATGACAGGACCAGCAGTGGAAGGGGCTCTTCAAAGGGCACCTGGGGAGGAAATCTTCGCTCTTCCTGCCGCTTTTACTTCTGAATCTCCTCCAGCCTCCCTCCCCTCCTCCTCTCCCCCCTCCTCCTCACCATCCCTCCTCCCCTTCCTCCCTCATGCTGTGCCTCTCTTTCTTCTCGCCTTCGTCCTCCCTCTTCTCCTTGCCTACGGCTGCATACGCCTCCTCCTCCTCCTCCCGATCCTCCTTTGCTTTCCCTCTCTCATCCTCCCTGCCCCTCGTCGCCCCGATGTCAGAGGGGAAGGGGGCCCAGTAGAGGCCAGTCGGGGGGAGGTAGGATAGTTGCACTCGGCATGGGCGGAGGGAGGAAATACGAAGGGATCAAGGGAAACGGGGGAGGGAGATGAGGTGGGAGGATGGGAGAGGGAGAGAGGGAAGAAGGGATGGAGTAAGAGGAATAAGCAGGACGAGGGATGGAGCAGGGGGAGGGGGGACAGCGGAGGGAAGACCATGAACACCCTCGCGACAGAGATCAAACCAAACGGTGCTTGCCGTTTTCGTTTTGGTTTCGGTTTCCCTCGTTCTGTCTCCAATCCGCCTTTGCTGCAAGACGGAATCGAAATGAGAACGGCCCACGGAATCGCCTAGGCACAATTTAGGTCGACCCCTGTCTCGCGAGTACGTGGAGGAGAAAACATAAGAAGCCGGCAACGATGGTCACAAGGGCATTGTTGTCGCCATCCACCTCCAACGCACTCGCGCTGGCCTTCCACATCCTCCTCCACGCACAGGGTCAACACTACACTCAGCGGAACCAAGAGGTGCCGATGCCGCCACTCCCCGGACCTCTCCCGGGGCGCGCTCCGACCAGGCTCTCCAGGCGAAGGCGGCGGCGACGAGGGCCTCCCAGGAGGCCAAAGCAGCGAAAACGAGAGATGGGGTGTCAGGGGTGGACAAATCTCCCCTTAATAAACCACACTTTAATGAAAACGGCCTAGCACCGAAACCGACGGACCTGGACCCGCAAAATAACGGCCGTGACGCCCTCTCGCGAACTGGAAACGGCCAATTCACTGATCGACGTGTCAGGGTAGGAGGCCTATCACACTCCGAGGGTGGCGGCATCGGCACCTTTTGCTCCTCTGACCACTGACCCCGACGGCGGCCCCCGAGCCAGAGGAGCCGCCAGCCTCGTCAGCGTTTTCTCATTCGGCGTTTCGACAGTGGGCGGAAGGGGGGGGTGGCTCCGGACCTCTGCTTGCTGCGCCTGCTTGCAACAGTGCGTCCTGGGGGGGAGACTCCACCTGATCGAAACAGGCGCCCCAAACAGCCCAGATTTACTCCATGGGAGGGGGGCGGAAGGGGGGGAGGGCAGGAGACGCCAGAATCGAACCCATGCCGGATCGGCGATCGAAGTGGAGCGGACCGGCGGAGACCGGCGGCCGGGTCGGGCAGAGCCGCATCGGCGGAACTCGGGAGGCCAGTGCGCCTCCCGTGAGGATAACGGAGAGCCCCAAACATCGGAGTCCCACGTCGAAGCGAGCTGGCATCGGGAGAGCCCGCGGAGTCGGATCGAACCGAGTCGGAGGCATCGAGACGAGCCCTGGAAAGGGGGGGCGTGCGAGGGCCCGCGCCCAGACCCTGAGATCCGACGTGGCCAAACACAAATGGCAGCATCGTTCAACTCCGCGCCCAGAGCCCCGGATCCCCCAGCTTTCTGCGTCATCCTTCGGGCCGGATCGACCCGTGAGGGCCCCGGGGCCCGAACACAGGGGCGAGAACGCCCGGCTCGTCGGACAACACCGGGTCGCCAGGATCCCAGGGCAGGAGGAGGTCTATGCAACTCCGAGGGGGGCGGGTATCCGCGCCCACAGGGCAAAGCAAGGCACGATAGTGAAGGGGGCCCTGAAACTCACACGAATAACCACACACACAAATAAAAGGATGCACGATCTCTTCCCCTATTTTCTGGGTGTCTATCTTCCCCCCCACTTCCCACATTTTTTTTCGTAGCTCCCTGACAATCGACGATCCATTGCGTCTGCGTGTTGGTTTCCCCCTCCTGAGAGGAAGAGAGCGCGCCCCGGGGCGCCTCCAGCTCCGCGGCCACGGCGGCGGGGCCGCGCTCCGCCGAGTCGTCGGAGGCCTGGGCGGCGCGAGGGGGCAGCGGGGGGGGGGGCGGCCGCCCGCCCGGGGGCCCCCGGAGGGCCGTCCGCCGCGGGCCTGCCTTCTTTTGCAGGGGCCCGGGGGGCACGCCGGGGGGGGAGGGGCAGGCGCGAGCGAGGGCCCGATCCTTGGCCGATCTACGCCGAGGAGGGGATGGGGAGGAGGAGGGAGGAGGAGGAGCAGGAGGAGGGGGAGGAGGAGGAGGAGGAGGAGGAGGAGGGGGAGGAGGAGGAGGAGGAGGAGGAGGAGGAGGAGGAGGAGGAGGAGGAGATGAGATGAGACGACTCCCAGGAGGACAGTCCCAGGAGAGAGGGTCCAGCCCGCAAAACTTGTTGGGCAGGTGCACCATCAGGGGGAGATGTTGTGAGGCCGAGCGTGGTGACAAAGCCACGCGCGGCGCTCGCGGCAGGTGCACCTGCTCCGAAACCTTACACCTGGCGGCTATTCTCGCGGGCTCGAACTCGCTCCATCAAGCGAGCCGTTCGAGCTTCATACGAGATGGCACTGTCGACCGAGTACTCAACAACTGAAGTCGTCGCTCTGACATCCCTCGCACTAGCCACTGTGAGGCCGACACGTGGGGCAGGAATCGCTCGGTCGATCAAAGCACGAATTCGGGGATTCGGGGCGAGCCCTCTCCGAAAACGCGACAAAATCATTTTACCAGTGCAGGTGGAGGGGGCACAGGGCTTGCTCAACTTAATGGCCTTTTCCTGGCTCCAACCTCCACACTTCAGACACAACAGGGATCCCCGTCGAGCCTCAGTGCTCTCTTCCTCGGCACGGGACCGCACAGCACGCAACGGAGCAAGACGAGAGCCACTGACGGCGATGAGCTGATGTCCCATCGCGTCAACCGTGAGAGGCTTCAAAAACGACGGGGTCCCAAGATAACCATTCAGAGGCAAGTTACGACACGATGGCGCAACTTTGAAACAGACTTCGCACTGCCAGCCGAGCTCCCCCAGACCCCAAGCGTGCCACCCCTCCCCCCGAGAGTTCCTCTGTCGGCAAAGCGCAACACTTTCGGCGATACTCAGCGTTTGCGGGAGGTTGCCAGCAACAGGGCCTCGACTTACTGCCACGGGCACATTAGACTCGGGAGACATCACTGCAATTGCCCACGACGCGCGCTCAAGCTCCACTAAGCCTGGCCGTGTGCACGAGCCGTCGGGGGCTACGTCCAATCGAGGGCCCTGAACGAGAGACGCCACCCCCTCAACCTCAACCGCCAACTCCTCCCCCTCAGGGCCCTCGAGGACCACTTTATCCGAGCAGGAAGGGGGAGGAATCTCCTCCTCGCCGTACAGGAAAACTCCTTGCACAAAGATGGGATCGTCAGACTTCGATACCTGCACTGATGAATAGCGGGCTGACTTTAGCCTCAGTGCGGGCGGCGACGACGGCAGGCAGCATGCATTCATACAAACAGTGCTTGATTGTCTGCCTCTGGCCACACGCACAAAGGCCGGAGGAGGAGGAGGAGGAGAAGGCGGAGGAGGAGGATGAGGATGAGGAGGAGGAGGAGGAGGAGGATGAGGAGTAGTCGTCGTGCCGACTTCGGCGTTGGTTTCTTGAAGGGGCCCTGGGACACACAAACAAATAGACACGAACAACAGGCTTCCCCACATTTTCCCATGTTTTCTGGATTTTCGTCTTCCCCCCCACGTCCCATATTTTCGCATCTATTCCTGGGAATCAACGATTAATTGTGTCTGTGTGTGTGTTGCTTTCCCTCCTGACACAAAGAGGAGCAGGCTCAAATCGCAGACCCCCTCGCGTTTGCAACAAAACTCACGAAGGGAGGTTCTTGCATCGCCTTCGGCCTCTCGCAGGGCTGGACCTGGATGCTGTGTTTCGTGCTGAGTTTCGCTGTTGTTTTTCCGTTTTGCTCTACGTTGTCTTGCACCTCCCTGCCAACACTAAAAAACAAGACACAGCCGACGTCCAGCAAAACAGCGTGTAGGTCCAGCTCTGACCTCTCGGGGCCCCTGCCGAGCCCCGGGACCGCGAACAGACAGCTCGGGACGAACCACCGGCTCTTGGGGTGGAAGGGGTCGAGGCCCCCGGGGGTCGACGTTGTGGAAACGTCGCGACGTCGGGGGGTCTGGGACGCCATGAGCCTCCACATCTTTCCATATTTCCTGGATGCTCGTCTTCCCCTCCACTAACCAAGAGCTTCCCCGTCTGTTCAGGGCAGTCGTCGTTTCCTTGTGTCTGGGACCTGGACCAGGACGAGAGACTCGGGCCTCGCTCTGGAATCGCCCAGACCGCGAAGCGGGAAGCGCGACTGACTTCGCACCCTCGCGGCCCTAGCCTGTGACTTTGTGTTGAGCAGTCCTACCACGAAATGTTCTTAGAACCCAAAAATGTTCTGGGAACAAAAGCCATGTTCTTATGACAGAAACCCGATGTGATAAAACAAGACAGACTCCGCCAGACATGTTCCAACAACATTTCGTGGGAACCACAAAAGGTTCTTAGAACATTGTTTGGTACGTCAGATGGTTTAACATCGACCGATTCTGGGTCGCCAACGGCGTCCAACGTCAGAGGCCGACGGCGGGGCCGCCGCCGGTCGACACGACGCGAACCTGCCGTACGCACTCCCGCCCTTGCGGTGAGCCCGCTCTGGTGAAGACGACGTGGGGCCCAGCCTCCCAGAGCCCCTGCTCAACTAGAGGCAGAGGATCTTGCATAACCATCGGAAACTTTCGGGGCTCCGCGCGGATTTCCCAGATCGGCGTCGGAGCCCCCTCCCTGGCGCGCGGAGCGCCAGGGGTGGCGCCAGAGGCGCCGCCGGGGGGCTCCAGCGCCGATCCGAGGAATCCGCGCGGACCTCCGAGTCTGTACGTGTTTGCGTCAGCGTTTTTTGATCCCTGCGGGCACCCTGCAAAAGGCACACGTCCAGGAGGTATAACTGCCTGGACCTCTCTGTTCTCTGGCTTCGTAAGGGGGCGCGTTTCCTTCAGTCAGTTAGGGAGCCCACAAAGGACGTACGCGCCCAGCTATGTACATGAACACGGCCCCTCGATTCGCGAGACCGGCCGCGTTATACGAACATTTGTCCAATGCGTGCTCTCGAAACCAGCGTGGATTCATGTACATGTACGTCCTTCTTTCGCTCCTGATCAGTGCTTGTTCCCCTGCAGAGCCCCTGCTCGACCCTGCGAGGGCCCCAGGTGCCAGAGCGACTGCCTCGACGAGGCCGCGGGGGCGCCCCGCGACGGGCCCCCGACAGGCCGGGGCCACACCCACGCGGCCACAGGCTGGGTGGTCGAAGCCAATCTGGCGCCAATCTGGCAGGCCCAATCTGGCAAACGGGGGCAATCTGGCGAGGGAGCCAACGCGAATCCAGTCTGGCGAATAACCCAAATCCTCCAGTTTGGCCGGGCCAGATTGGCCCTGGGGGCCCAATCCAATCTGACAGTCTGGCCTTCGACTACCCAGACAGGACTGTCCAAGAGCGGCCCCGAGAGCGGCCCGGAGATGGCTCTGAGGCAGGAGCGGTCAGCACCGGATCGGGAAATCGGGTCGCATTGGAACGTAGATCGAATCGGTTTGGACACCCGAAATGGGTACCGAAAGAATGGGCAACATGCCCAACAACAAAGGTTGTCCCGAACCAACAGCGGCCGCTGTTGGGCAGGCGGCCTTCTGTCTCAAATGAACACAGGCCGCGGCGGCGCGGACAGCGAGTCCTGTTCAAAATGAACAGGAACTGCTGTTGGGCATCGTACCCATTCTTTCCGTACCCATTTCGGGCGTCCAGAATCGGGCCGCTCCGTCACGGAGTCGGAGTCGAGTCGAACCGGCGGCCGCAGGACGCGCAACGGCGCCCAGGCAAGCGTCGGGCCGCATCGGATCGCCGGAGCATCGACATCGAATCGAATCGGGCCAGCCAGGGCCGATCTTGAACCAGCTTGGTCGGATCGGAAGGTGCCACGAGAGATGGCTCCAAGCAGCCCCAGTGTGCGACAAGATTCGGACGACCCCTCGATGTACCCAAAACGGCCACAAACTTGCGACAGGCCTTCCGATTCAAGACTGCGCCCAACATGCATCCCAGAGTCCCTCAACAAGAGGCCCAATCCTCGCCAACTATACGATGGTCCTCATCCTCCTCCTCCGTCTCCTACCTGCTTCTCGATGCAGGAGGTAACTCCTCCCGATATTCATCAATAATCTCGACGTTCACATTTCACCCAATCGTAGTCAGCCTTCCGCAGCCACACCGATACCATACCATGCTGCAAGTTCCTGCTGCCATGACGGCGTCGGCTCTGGCTTCTGCCCCCAGATGAACTTCCATGAGGGGCAATGAGAAGGGGGGACTGGCACAGGGAGGGAAACATCGACCTGGTAATCGGCGATACATCGCCGATAGATCGGCAATGGGTCCCCGATCGCATACCCGCACGTTCCTGGGCGGGGTGGGGCAACCAGACCCCTATCGGCGATCCATGGGCGAATGGGGGTCGACTATCGTTGCCTATTGGTTTTCGGGCCATAACTCGGCTCTCCGGCGGCCGTTCGGGACGATCCAGGCACCCCTGGGACGCCCTTTGCGAGGCGCGTCTGCTTGAGAGCATCCTGAGGCTGGAAAACCACCGAAAACGGACGAAAGCTCAAGACAACCTCGAACTCGATCAATGGGCGATTGGGAGTCGATGCGTCCCCCCGTGTCGTTGCCCCTGATTTCAACCTTACACGATTTCCGCTGTCGGGGCGGGTGTCTCCAAAAAACTTGAGCGCACGCACTCGCACTGCCGCTTGCGCCGAGACGGCGCGAAAGCGGCGCGAAGCCACCGCAGATCACGCAGCGGCGCTGCCACACGGCGCTCCCGTCGTCGGCGGGCGGTGCGCGGAGCGGGCGCACGGACATCTCGGGGGCGTCCCAAAGAGGGGGGTGGCGCAAATCATAGCCAGCGGCACGTGCGCGGCCCAAGGGGGGTTGGGGAGGTATTGAATCCCACCAGCCCTCTGGGCGTCGGTGGTTTAGGGCGTTTCCTCTTCCACCCCTCCCTCTTCCCCTTCGGGGATGGGGTTTATCACTGTTCCCTATTAATAAGCACCCCCTCCCCCAGGCGACTGAGGGCCAACCAGGGTCCATGACCCCCCCACCATCCCTTTGTAAAAAAAAACAATACAAAACACCCTCTGCCTCCAAATCCGGAACATGCGCAGCCAACCCGATGCGGCCGCCCCCCCACCATCCCTGTCAAAAAACAATACAGAGCACACTTGAAGGCGGCGGCGGCTGTGACGGCTGCGGCGGCGGCGGCTGCGGCTGCGGCGGGGGCGGCGGCGGCGGGCGGCGGCGGCGGCGGCGGCGGCGGCGGCGGCGGCGGTGGCGGCGGCAGCGGCAGCGGCTGCGGCGGCGGCGGCGGTTTGGCAGCGGGGGCGGGCGGCGGCGGCGGCGGCGGCCGGCGGCGGCGGCGGCGGCGGCCTGCGCGGCGGCGGCGGCGGCGGCGGGCAGCGGCGGCGGCGGCGGCGGCGGCGGCAGCGGCGGCGGCGGCGGCGGCGGATTGGCCCCCAGCAGCTGCCCATCCAAAGACGACTGCTGAATATGCTGATGCTCGGGCCAGACTCGGGTGCTACGTATGTGTTGGGAGGGCGGGTGGGAGTGAGCGGGACGGCTTGCGGGCGGGGAGGGGGTCTTGACCCCTCCTCCTACCTCCTCCCCGTGGACATGGACGGGAGGGGCGGGGAGGTGTCAGGGCGTCCAAGACGGACTCGGCGAGGAATCCAAAAACATTGGTTTTACTATGGTTATGGCCCCATGTTGGCCTCCCGAGGGGGCAACTCTGATTGCAGCTCCCCTCTTCTTTGATCGAAAACCTTCAAGATGGCCCCAAGAAGCGCCCAGGAGGCCCCAAGAGGCCCCAAGATGGCCCCAAGAGGCCCCAAGAGGCCCCCAAGAGGTCCCCAAAAGGATCCCAAGCGGCCCACAACGGCCCCCCGAGGCACCCAAAACGCCGAAAAAACCCTCAGGACGACCCGCTACTCGCCTGGGCGTCGTTTCTGGATGGACTGGTAGGGCTACTTTTTTTGGGGGGTCGCGGCCGCGAGCGAAGAGCGCACGCGGCGAGAGAAGTTGCCCGGGCCTACGAACAAACCTAATTAGCTGCAGGGCGCAAGTCAGGCCGGCCGGGCCAGCTCACAAGGCAGCCGCTGGGGCAGCGAGGCGAGGGCTGACTGGCTGACGGGCACCCAAGGAAGCTCGAGCATCGTGCAGCCCACAGCAAAATGCCAGGGAATTCGGTGTTACGCCCTGCGGCGTTAGACCACCCCGTTGGAGGCGCGGACGCAGGTGAGCGTCCTGCACTGCACCCCTCTCACGCATGGTGGCCACGAAGGCGAGAAAACTGGTGGGGATACTTTTTTTGTTCGGCGGCTCGAAGGACAGATCCAGCGAGCGGGACTACTGGTGGGGGTACGCGAAGCGAATAGAATTTGGAAGAGGCGCCATGACATCTGGGGAGATATTATGGCCCATGCCATGACATCCACACACACCCCTAGTCATCACCCACATCTGTGCCGCCCCCGATCGTTGACGGGCGGTGCGCGGAGCGGGCGCACGGACATCCAAGATTGGCAGAAAGTCCCGGGCAAGCAGACGTGCGCGAGGGTACCTCGCCCTGCCCGCCGCCATCCCTCTCCTCGCCCCTGCCTCCAGCCCCAGCCTCCTGTCTTCGCCCTTCCTCCTCGCGCTCGTCCCTCATCGCCCCCCCCCCCGCCATCCCTCCTCCCGCCTCCCTCCTCCATCTCCTTCACCAGACACCGCCCTCTCTCCCCCGAGCCTGTCTTCATCTGCGCCTTTTTTTCGCATACTGATATGGTTGTTTCTCAATAGAACCGTTCGTGGGCAATTAAAACCAATACTCTCGCTAGAACGTCTGCTGAACGGTGCTCGCGCATTAGCGCTGGCCGTATTCTCCTACCAGAGAAGCCGTGTTACCAGGTTGCAACATTCACAACTCTGCCTCGACCTCGGGTACAAAGGGGGCGACACACTCGCCGCAGCGGTGGCCGCGCTCCTGTATCAACGCCTTGACTCACAAGGGTTATGGGTCCTTTTCGGCTATCGTGTATTCGGGATCAAGGTCTTTCCGGACACGATTCCGCGAATAGAGAGGGGTTCAACGCGGTGGACAAGGAAGGGAGGGAGGGGTACGACGTCAGATATGTGAGATCTGGCACGAGCGCGCCTACGGCAGGTTCGTGTAGTGCCGACTTCGGAGGGGCAACGATAGGGGGCGACTGGCACAGGGGGGGGGGAAACATCGACCTGGAATTGGCGATACATCGCCGATAGATCGGCGATAGGCCCCCCATAGTGAATCCGCATGCTCCTGGGCACGTCGGGTCTACGGCCCCTGTCGGTGATCAGTGGGCGATTGGGGATCATGATCGGTGCCTCCACCCCCCGTGCCCGTCCCCCCCCTACCGTTGCCCCTGCAGAGAGCGCTGGCCGAGCCGCCTTCTGCGTGACCCCCGTTGGACCCCACAGCCTTCACCTGCGGCCCTCTGACGCCGTGACTAGAAGAAGAAAGCACACCATAAGCGTAATTTGTTTGGCGCTCCGCGCGGATGTCTGGGATCCGCGCTGGGCCCGCCCTCCCTGGCGCGCGCAGCGCGTCAGGGGCGGCGCCGGAGGCGCCGCCAGGGGGCTCCAGCGCTGATCCAAGAAATCCGCGCGAAGCGCCTCAAGGGCATGTTTATGGCGTTTGCTCTTCTTCGGCACCTGCGGCCCTCCGACGCCGTGACTGCTTCACGGCGTGCACGCGCCCCAGAGCCCTCGGAGCCCATCCCCAGGATCGCCCGCCTGTCGTGGCCTGGGGCGGACGGTCGGGGGGCCACTATAGAGGAAGAACACACTGCATAGACATGCAAACTTGTTAGTCCACCCTCATAAGCACCCCGACAAGCGAAGCAATTGAGTAAACGCACCCAAGGAAGGAATCGAACAGGGCAGGGCTGTTTAGTAAACGCCCAAGGCCGTTTAATAAACGCCAGTTATTGGTTCCGGGTGGTTTCTCCTCCCTTGACCTCTGGAGCTCCGGGCAGATTTCTGGGAGCGACGCCGGACCCGCCCTCCCATCGCACGCAGAGCGCGCCAAGGGCGGCGCCGGAGGCGCCGCCAGGGGGCTCCAGCGCCGACCCGAGGAATCCTCACGGAGCGCCGAGGAATTGTGTCCATGCCGCTGTGGTTCGTCTTCGACGTCAAGGGGGCACAAAGACACGGAGGCTGCGGGTCAGATGCGTCTCTCTCTTTCTCTTCCTCTCAGCGGGCGCGGGCGCTGGCCGCCTTGCTGGCGCTCGGCTCTGGCGAGGCGGGCTCCTGCTTCACGTGGGCGGCGCTCTCCTGGGGGCCTCGGGGCCAGGGGCGGGGGGAGAGAAGGCAGGGACACGCTGGGCGCACTCGCGCCACAATGATCTGATGTCCCCTTTGCCACCATCCATCCTTCCCCACGGCGCTGAATTATGTTTCATCCTTGGGGTGCACTGCCAGGACCTTGATCCCCCCAAAGGCAACGACGAGAAACGATTCGCATCCAGAACTATGGCCCGCTCTGGTGCGAGAGTGCTATTCTGAACGACGGGCGCGAAACACTGATCCTGACATGTGGCCAATTCTGCAGCGATCTCTACATAAACGTCCCTGCCTCCCTCCCTCTCGGCACACCCCTCACACGTTTCGTGGCCCCATAAGGAGTTCCATCTAAGGTTCCATTTGCGCAGTTCGCATGGCGGCGCCGCCCCATTTTGGCACACCCTTCACACGCTTCGTGGCCCAATAAGGAACTCCACCTGAGGTCTCTTTGGCGCAGTTCGCATGGCGGCGCCGCCCAATTTTGGCACACTTCTCACACGTGTAGCGGCCCCATAGGCTACTCCACCTAAGGTCCGAGTGGCGTAGTTCGCATGGCGGCGCCGCACCATTTTGGCACACCCCTTACACGTTTCGTGGCCCCACAGGGAACTCTACCTCAGGCCCATTCTGCGCAGTTCGCATGGCGGCGCCGCTCCATTTTGGCACACCCCTCACACGTTTCGTGGCCCCACAAGGAGCTCCACTGAGGGTTCCGGTGGAGCAGTCCGCATGGCGGCGTCGCCCCATTTTGGCACACCCCTCACACGTTTCGTGGGCCCATTTGGCATACACCTCACACGATGCGTGGCCCCATAGAAGGGGCTCTACATCAGGCCCCAGTAGCAGCGCCGGCATGGCGGCCCCGCCCCATTTCGGCACTCTTTTCACGCGTTTCGTGGCCCCGTAAAGAGATCCACCGAAAACGATGTTAACAACGACCGTATTCACACCTGCATATGGTTGGGTCCTTCTCCGGCCTTTTTTGGTTGTTGTGTGTGTCTCTTTCTCTATCCCTCTCTCTCTCTCTTTCTCTCTCTGTCTCTCTCTTTGTTGTTTCTCTCTCTCTGTCGGTTTAGGTATATGTATACATATATATACACATGTGTATGGTCGCCCCCTGTCATCATGCAGGTTCGTCGATTCGTACTTTTATTCTTCATCTATTAGACATCATCATCATCGTTCGTATTCTTCGCATCGAATTTCTTCTTAGTAATATTAAACTTTTTGCTCGTGTTATTCGTCGTTCTTTCTTAGGCGTCGTTCTCATCGTGTTCCTCGCCTGCCGCTGACGTTCGTGCCCCGTCCTCTCATGAGAAGGATGAGAAGGAGGAGGGTTGGGGGGGGGGAACGAGGAGAAGGATGATGAGAAGGATGAGAAGGAGGAGGGAGGGAGGGCCAGGGCGAGGACGAAGAAGAGGAGGACGAGGGAGGAGGAGAAGGAGAGGATGGGGACGATAAGGAAAAGCGGGATGGAAGAACACATGCGCCCTGCGCCACGTGCGAACGTTGGCGTGCATGTTCAAAACTCGGCTTAAACGGCGCTGGTTGGGGCCGTCGGCAAGCCGACCAAAGACAGCGAAGCCTGCGACAGGAAATTGACGGTCAACAGAAAGCACCAGAAAACGGTGTGAAGCTTTCTTTAAACAGCCGCGCGCCAAGACGCTAGTGGCGACCTTCCGCCGCGCGGCCTTGGACAAGGTCCGCGCGGCGGTCCGCGAAGCGACGGGGCAGCGCAGCGCGAGAAAAGACGCCCTCAAAACCACGATGTGCAAAAACGCACGTTGCAACCGCGCAAAAGCGGCGCGATTCGACGACGCAAAATAACGCGCGAGTGTTGCACCGTGTTTCCGATTCGCGCCGCTTCTGCGCGGCGCTAGATCGCGCCTCTCTTTCGCGGCCCGCCCGAGGGAGACGCTCCAATGAGCGCGCGCGGCAGGCCGGGAGCGCGCGGGGTGACGCGCAGTCCTAGAAGGGCGACGCGATGACTGCCAGGAAGGAGGCCGAACGCTGGAAGCTAGCCTTCCTGGAGGATATCGGCGGTAATCCCTGTCACATCTAATTCGCTAGAACGCAACAGTTATCCCAGTGCGACCCTACCTAGGAGTTGGAACATCCAGGAAAACAACATCTACACCTACACCGGCAACTACATTTACATCTACACCTGCATCTACAACTACATCAACAGCGATACCCACATCTACATCTACATCTACACCTACATCTACACCTACATCTACGTCTATATCTACACCTACATCCACATCACCGCCGACACTTGCATCTACATCTACACTTTCGCATTGGTTTTGTTTTTGATTTGCAGTGCCTTTGCTTTTGCTCTTGCCTTTGCTGTTGCCTTGCTATGCTATGCTATGCTGTGATGTGGTATGCTATGCTGCGCCATGCTATGCTATGTTTTGCTATGCTGTGCTATGATATCTTATGCGGCGCTGTGCTATGCTAAACAATGATATGCTGTGCTATGCTATGCTACGATGCGCTATGATGTGCTATGCTATGCTATGCTATGGTGGGCTGTGATATGCCATGCTCTGCGCTGCGCTACGCTAAGCCAAGGTAGGCTGTGCTAAGCTGTGCTAAGTTAAGCTAGGCCAGGCCAGGCTAAAGCTAAGCTACGCCAAGCTACGCTAAGCTAAGATGAGATAAGCTAAGCTCGGCCTGGAAAAGCTAAGCTAAGCTAAGCGAGCCTAAAATGAAATAAGCTAAGCTAAGATGCGATAGGCAACGCTAAGCTAAAGGGGCGTAGCTGGGGGAACCGCGGGGCGGATCCTGGGGGAACCGCCCGTGGCGTGTCCCACTGCCCAGCCCTTTAAACCTCCGAGCAAGAACCCTTCTAGGCAGAGCCTAGGTAGGGAATAAGAAAGCGGCGCCCCGCGCCTGTCTCCTCCCAGGGAGAAGCAGCGGCGCGAGGAAGCGGAGAATCGGAGGGCCATGGCGCCAGAACTTGGTGCGCGCCAAGGCCACTGGCATACCGTTCACTCTCGCCCCGAAAGGCCGCAGGCGGCGGACGTGCAATAAGGACAGGTTGGGTGCGACCGGCGTCTCGCCCAGCCAGGCGCTACCGTAGGTTGTCCGCCCATGGTTTGCAATGGCGGTAGCGGATAGCACGCCTGTCATTCGGAAGTGACCAACGCGAAGAGGCAGCGCCGCCGCCTCCAGGAGAGGAGCGCGTACCTTGAGGAGGTCCTGGGGCAGTGGGGGTCTTGGGCTGCGGTAGGGCGGGAAGCAGGCGAGCGGCGCCACGGCTCGTGGCAGAAAAAAAAGCATCGCATTCTGCTATGCCCTCCTGAGGGGCCGCGCCCCTCGTCGTCCGCTCCATTGGCCCCCTCCTGCCTCCTGCTGCGCCTACACTAGTAGTAGTAGTAGTAGTAGTAGTAGTAGTAGTAGTAGTAGTAGTAGTAGTAGTAGTAGTAGTGGTAGTAGTATAGTAGTAATAGAAGTAGTAGTAGTAGTAGTAGTAGTCGTAGTAGTAGTAGTAGTAGTAGTAGTAGTAGTAGTGTAGTCGTAGTAGTAGTAGTAGAACGCAGTCGAGTAGTATTAGTAGTTATGGTCGTTGTAGTAGTGGTTAGTAGTTAGTCGTTATGGTATTAGTAGTCGTAGTAGTTGTAGTCGTAGTAGTAGTAATAGATGTTGTTAGAAGTTAGTAGTAGTAGTTAGTAGTAGTAGTAGTTTTTAGTTAGTAGTCTGTCGTAGTAGTAGTAGTAGTAGTAGTAGTAGTAGTAGTAGTAGTGTAGTTAGTAGTAGTAAGTAGTAGTTAGTAGTACGTTCGTCAGTAGTAGTTAGTAGTAGTAGTAGTAGTAGTAGTAGTAGTAGTAGTAGTAGTAGTAGTAGTAGTAGTAGTAGTAGTGTAGTGTAGTAGTAGTAGTAGTAGTAGTAGTAGTAGTAGTAGTAGTAGTAGTAGTAGTAGTAGTAGTAGTAGTAGTAGTAGTAGTAGTAGTAGTAGTAGTAGTAGTAGTAGTAGTAGTAGTAGTAGTAGTAGTAGTAGTAGAAGAAGTAGAAGTAGTAGTAGAAGTAGTAGTAGTAGTAGTAGTAGTAGTAGTAGTAGTAGTAGTAGTAGTAGTAGTAGTAGTAGTAGTAGTAGTAGTAGTAGTAGTAGTAGTAGTAGTAGTTTAGTAGTAGTAGTAGTAGTAGTAGTAGTAGTAGTAGTAGTAGTAGTAGTAGTAGTAGTAGTAGTAGTAGTAGAACTAGTAGTCGTAGTAGTAGTAGTAGTAGTAGTAGTAGTAGTAGTAGTAGTAGTAGTAGTAGTAGTAGTAGTAGTAGTAGTAGTAGTAGTAGGTTGTAGTAGGTAGTAGTAGGTAGTAGTAGTCTAGTTCTAAGTCGACGAATATTTCAGTACAGTTAAATTTATCTAGCTAGTAGTAGTAGTAGTAGTAGCAGCAGCAGCAGCAGCAGCAGTAGTCGTAGTCGAAGTCGAAGTCGTAGTTGTCGTAGTAGTAGTAAGAGTAGTACTAGTAGTCGTAGTAGTAGCTGTCGTAGTAGTAGAAGTAGAAGTAGACGTCGTAGTAGTAGTAGTAGTAGAAGTAGTGGTAGAAGTAGTAGTAGTAGTAGTCGTCGTGGTAGTAGTAGTAGTAGTAGTAGTAGTAGTAGTAGTAGTAGTAGTAGTAAGAGTATTAGTGTTAGTAGTAGTAGTAGTAGTAGTAGTAGTAGTAGTAGTAGTAGTAGTAGTCGTAGTCGTAGTAGTAGTAGTAGTAGTAGTAGTAGTAGTAGTAGTAGTCGTAGTTCTACTATTACTACCACGTAGGCGGACACCACACGAGCATCGCCACGGCTCGTGGCAGAACAAAGGGCATCGCATTCTGCTGTGCCCCCCCGGGGGGCCGCGCCCCTCATCGAGTGTCCCTTGGCCTCCTCCTGCCTCCTGCTGCGCCTGCGCATACCCCTACTACTGCTGCTGCTTCTACAGCTGCTACTGTTAGGACGACTACAACAACATCTACTATTAGTATTATTATTGCCACCGCTAATACCGATA